ATTTTTTATTTTATTTTTTATTTATTTTCATTTGACATCACTTTCATAATTTCTATTAATTACTTTTTCTTAATTTTTATATTCTTCTTATTCACATAATTCCCCTGTTGATTTCATTTTATTGTTTATTAATTATTTTCTTTTTTCCAATCTTTATTTAATATTAATTTCTTATTTTTAATTTTCTTTATCTAATAAACATTATTATAATTATTGCATTTAATGTATTTAGTCAATTATTTAATGTTAAGTATTTTGTAAATTCCTATATTTTAAATCAAAATTGAATTATTTACTTCTTTATTGTTTATAATTTAATATATTTTAATAATAATTTTAACTTTTTTAATCACTATTAATATTTTATTATATATTTCTTATTTCCTATTTCTAATTTTTATTATCATTACTATTATTTTTATTAGTCGTAAGTAATTATAATATTTTTGTTTAAGAAAGCGTTTATTATATTTTTTCTTAAAAATAAACTTTTATTGGGTCTTATACTGAGTCATAATATTCAATACATTTCGCATACAATTATATTAATTCACATATGTTTCCACTTTATATATTTTCGGAATTTTTTTATATTAAAATTTCTGTTTCAATTAGTTTTTGGAAAAAATCTTCTTTTAAAGGCTTTATTATGTTTTGCTTTAAATTTTAAGTGTGTTTTTTTGATTATTTTTGCATTATTTTTATATTTTTTATTTATTTTATTACAAAAATATTCTATTATAAATATATACAAGTCTTATATTTTTTATTATTATTTTATTTGTCTTAATATTACTTTTTTTTTAATTAAATTTGAGAGAGTTAAAATTAAATTAGTTAAATAATTTAAATATAATAAAAATAGAATTAAAGTTTGAATTTTATAAAATAAATATTAGAATTTTAATATAATAAATTGTAATTAGCTTTAGTATTTAAAAATTTAAACAATATTGCAAACTAAACAAAAATTAATATTTTAGTTAGATAAATTATAAATTTTTATTTTACAAAAATTATATTTTTTAAATTTATATTATATATTTTTAGTCTTTCTTATAGTAAAATTTTTTACGTTAAAAAATACATATTATTATTATTATAATGTTATTAAAAAAAATAATTATTTAATATATAAAAAAAATAATTTAATAATATATATATATCGAAATTAATTATAAATAATATATATTTCTATCATATTTATTATGAAAAGTATTACAACTATTTTTTATATATATTATAATCAAATTTTATTAGAAAAACTAATATTTATAATAAATAATAGAAGACATAATAATATTAAATTAAAAGACTTATTAGATTATAAAAATAAAATATTATTTATTTAATATTAATAATTTATAAATTAATATAAATATATATTTATATATATATTTACTTATATTTTTAATTATTTACATAATTTTTTTTTAAATAAAAAAAAAATCTATTTATCTAAATATTATTTAAATATTTTTATAGTTTTTTTACAAAACTTTATAATAAATTTTTTACAGAATATTAAATTAAGTATTTTTAACGTATATTAATATATATTTTTACAGAAATTCTTGTTAATAACTTTTTTAAAGCATATGTTACTTATATGCATTTGTTTCTAAATCAAACTATAGTAAAATGTTGATATTTATAGAAAGGTAAAATATTTAAATATATATATTTTAAATATAAAATATTTTAATATCATTATGAAAGCAATTAAAAATTTTAAATGGAATTAAAGTTGATTCTTAATATTATAGATTAACAAAACAAATTATATAATTATAAATTTTATGAATATTTTTTTTTAACAATAAAAAAAAATAATAATATTAAATATTTCATATAATAATAATAAAAAAACAAAAAAATTTAAGACGGATTTTTAAATATAAATCTTAAATTAATGTTTTTATCGGATATTTCTTTTTATGTCTTATGAATAAATTTAAATTTGTACTAAAAATAATCAATTAAAAAAAACTTTATAAATAATAATAATTATAAATAAAAAAATTTCAAATTTTTTAAATAAAAAATTGGATATTCTAAAGAAAGAAATAATAATGACATATTTATTATAAAAAAAATAAAAAGATTTACTAAAAGTAATTTATATAAAATAATAGTTTGGATATATAAAAATTAAGATATAAAAATGTAAATTATTATATAAAAATTTAAAAAATAAAATAAGTTAAAATAAAATAAATAAATAAATAAATAAATATATTTTTTAATGATATAAATAAATAAAAATAAAAGAAATAAAAATTATTAGGTTAATATTTTATATATAATATAATTAAAAAAAAATATATATATATAATTATATAAAAAATAAAAATACAAAAAATACATATAAATATATATATAAATATATATATATATAAATATTTTTATATATATATTAATATAAATATAATTAAATATTTTTATATTTGTATTATTTACTAATTATTATTCTTAGATTTATTTAATATTTTTATTATAATCTTTATATATTTTTTCATTGATTTTATATATATTTTCTTTTAAAAAATTCGTTAAAATATTTAATAACTTATTTTAATATAAATAAAATAATGAATATACCTATTTAAAATCAAATTCTTGATTTATTTCATTATGACTTTTTATCAAAAAGTAAATCATATAATATATTAATACTTATAATTTAATTTTATTTTAAAAAGAACTTTCCATTAATTAATAAACATCATTAATTATTTAATAGATACAAAAACCTATATCAATTTTTTCAATTTTTGGCTTAATAAATAATTCTGATAATAATTTAATTAAAAGAACTTTTTTTAGTTAAGAAATATAAGAAATAACTTAAAAAGATGTATTATATTAATATATTTATATATAAATATTAATATATTTATATATAAATATTAATATATTTCAATTATAAGAATACTAATAACTTGTAAATATCTGTTAATTATATATAAACATAAAACAAATAAGGAGATTTGATAAATATATTAATATTAGATTGTGAGGAAATATAAAAGCATATTATTTAAGAAAATTTAGAAAAGCTTATGTAATTTATAATTTTATTATCTACGAATATTTTATTCTATTAATATTAAAATGTAAAATAAAAAAAAATGAAATAAAAATATAAAAAAATAAGGAAAATTAATTATTTCAAATTTTCGACAACTTAAAATATTTATTAAATAATTGTTAAGAAATAGGTAATTTTTTTTTAAAAAAAAAAAAAAAAAAACTAAGTAAGTAAATTTACCTTTTAACTTTTAATTAGTTTNTTTTTAGATTGTTACTTTTACCTAATTTAAAATTTTAAAAACTTTTAAACGTAATTATTAATATAATAATTAAGTTTAAAAAGAGTAGTAAAGTTAGTTTAAAGTTTAAACGTAAAAAATTTTAACTTACTTAAAAAATTAAAAAAAAAGTTAAAAATTAGTTAAACTTAAAACTAAAATTTATTACGTAAAAGGTAAAAATTAAAAATTAAAAAAACTTACTTAAAAAATTTTAAAAGTAACTTAAACNTAGTAAAGTTAAAAAAACTTAAAAAACGAAACTAAAAAATTAAAAAAAAAATTAAAAAGGTAAAAAGTTAAAAAAAATTAATAAAATTAAATTAAAAGGTAAAAAGTTAAAATTAATTTACTAAATTTTACGTACAACTTAAATAATTATTAATAATTAGTTAAGTAATAAGGAGTTTTTTAAAAAAAAAAAAAAAAAAAAAAAATTAGAAATTCCTTTACTTTAATTGATTTTTGATGATTTTCCATAATAAAATTTTAACGAATATATATATAAATATTTAAAAGATGAATGTTAAATTGAAAATTAATCTATAAAAATAAAAAATGTATTAACAAATATTCTAGAATAATAAAAAATCTAAATTTTAAAAGATTAAACATGTGAAAAATTTAAAAACGAAACATTAAAAAATAAAAAAATTAAAAAAAATATAAATAATATATAATATAATGGAAATATGTTTATTACTTTTTGTGATTCTTTAATTAAATAAATAAATGGAAATAAACCTTTTCCAAATATAAATATTGCTTGGAAGAATGTTTGTTAAATATAAAACTAACGGATATTATAAAAATCTTATGAAATATATGAAAGATATTTGAAAGATAATATACTTATTAAAATTCCTACTTTTTTAGAAGAAATTAAAGTAAAAATTTTAATTTTTTTTTTTTCCTTATAAAAAATAAATAAATAAACATATATAATCATATTAGGTATATCATAAAAATGGGAAAAATAAAGGTTTATAAATTTTAAAGAGAAATTATATAGAAAATTAGGCTTTTCCGATAAATGAAATAATGGAAGTATTCAAAAAAAAATAAAAACCAGATTTTAATTAATAAAAAATACAAACGAAAAAGAATCTAATAATAAATGTTTAATTTATATTTAAAAAGAATTCATCCCGATTGAAAAAAAGCTTAAAAATAACTTTTATAAAAGCTTTTGTGATTTCGAAAAAGATATAAGATTCTTCCAATAATTTTTATAAGAAAATATTCCTAAAAATATATAAAAAAACTAAATTATTTCTGATTTTTTATATAAAATTACATTATTTGCAACTTCATAAATTTTATAACAACAGGAAGTAAAAAAAATTAATATATATAAATATAAAAAATATAAATATATTTAATTATATATATATAAAAAAATATAAATAATTATATATATATATACATATATATATATATATATAATTATGTATATTTATATTAAATAAACAATAATGATTTTAAAAAAATATAAAAAGTCTTAAACTGAAACACTTCTAAAAAATCAAGAATAAAAATCTCTCTAAAATTAACAAAAAATTTAAAATATTCATTAAGAATACTAAGAAAAAATAAAAGATCTTGAAAATACACTTGAAATATCTAAAAAAGAAAATTAAAAATAAGCCTAAATATATTAAAAACCTATGAAGATCAATAAATTATATTAAAAGATTAACTGTAAAAAGCAATTGAAGATTATAAAATAATCGAAAGATCTTACAAAATAAACGAAAGTGAATTTATAAAGGAAAAATCTATTTTCGAACAAAAAAATTTTTAATAAGAAAATTCTTTAAAATAATTAAATGAGAAAATTCAAAATTTATAAAATTACGAAAATAATAAATAAAATGAAAATTTACAAAAAATAAAAGAAATTTAAATCTAACACGAAAAAACGATTAAGTAATTTTAAGAAAATATACTTATAATAAAAGACATAAATAATGATTTAAATGATAAGATTTTTAATATTTAAAATTAATTATAGACTGAGAATGAAATTTGGAATAATAAAGAAATTTCTTTTGGAAAAAAAATAATCGAAAAAGATAATTTAATTATTTTTTGGGAAAATAAAGTTAAAGCTTTGGAAGAAAAATATTACGGATATTCTTAAAAAGAATTTCTCGAAGAAAATAATTTATTAAAAGAAAAAATTAATTTTTTGAATTCATAAATATAAGATAATTTATGCAAATATTAAAAAGAAAAAGATGGTTTTTTTGAAAAAAATGGATTTTTGGAATAAGAAAATCTTCTTTTGAAATCATAAATTGAAGAACTTTTCAAAAAATTAAAAAATTCAGAAATGAATAACGAAAATGCATTAAAAGTTATATCCTTTTAGAGTTTTTTGGATGAAAAAGATTAAAAGAACTAGAATATTTAATGTTTGGAATTAAAAGAATTCTATTTAGAGAAAATTTAAAAATTGGAAAAAGAAAAAAACAAAGAAGTAAATATTTTATTGAAAATTTAGGAAGAAAAAAATGAGGAATTTTTGAAAAAAGAAAACGAATTTATTATTTTAGAAACGAATTTTTTACAAGAAATCTAAAATTTAAAAAACTAAAAGGAAAGTTTAGAAAAAGAAAACGAAAAATTAGAAAAAAAATAGAAATTTTAAAAATAGAAAAATAAAAAAACATTGATAATTACTAAAATTAAATAAAAAAATAAAAAGGTGAATTAGAAAATATTATAGAAAATCAAAAAAATCAATATATATAAGAAATAGAAGAAAATTAAAATTAATATTAAGATACATTAAATTAATTAAAAATATTTATACTTAAGAAAAGAAAATTTAGAAAAAGAATATTATTAGAAAAGTAAATTTCTATTAAAATAAAAATAAATAAAAATATATATAAATATATAAATAAATAAATATATATATATATATTTATTACATTTTATCATATTTATATTATATATTATTTATATTTAATATATAGATAAAAAAACTTATAAAATATTAATGAACTAGTTGAAGAATATGAAAACAAATTATAATATTAAAAAAATTATTTAAACGATGAAATTTTATCTTTAAATGTAATTTATTTTAAAAATATTTGAAAAAAATATATATTTAAAATTTATTTATAAATAAAATTTATAATAATATTAATTGAAAAATATTTAAGTTATAAGATTCATATATATATATTTTTATATTTTTTTCACTAAAAAATTTAAAATACATAAATAGGAATACTTAAATGATATCTAAAACTAAATTTTTAATCAAAAAAAATAGTCCTAAAATAAACTATAATTAAAAAATCTATAAATAATATAATTATAAAACGAAATAAAAGACCTTAAAAGTTATTAAGATTAAAAGATACTTTAAATAAATTAAGAAAATGAGAAAAAAACATAATTAATTTAATTTTAATATGATCTTATTTTCAATTAAAAATAAGAGATTTTTTAAGAAAATAATTAAAAAGAAAATGATAATTCTTAAAATTTAAATATAATTTAAAATTTATAAAAATAAAATTAAGAAATTTTAGAAAATTTAAATAAATAAAAAGTTGAATTTTTATCAAAGATTGAAACTTATCAATAACAAATTGAAATTCTTGAAAAAAAGTACACTCAAATTTTTGATGAAAATCTTAAATTTAAAATTCTTTTTGAAAAATAAGAGGCACTTTTTGAACAAGAAAAGACTTTTTTTTCCTAAAAAATTGCTGAACTTGAAAAAAACCTTCTTTTTCAATAAAATAAAAGCTCTGAATTTTAAAAAAACTTCCAAGAGGATTTTTTTAATGAAAAAGAAATACTAAAAAGTGCATTTTAAGAAGAAAAAAATACATTTATTTGTAAAATATAACATATAAAAGATTAATGTAAAAAATTCGAAAACGAAAATCTAAAAATTACAGCCGAAAATGAAAAAAATACTGCTGTTTTAATAGAAAAAAATAACTTTTTAGAAAATAAATTATAAAAAATATAAATTGAAAATAAAATAGAAATATAAAGTTTAAAAGAAATTTTAGAAAAAGAAAAATTAAATTTTTTTTAAGAAAAAAAAATTTTGAAAGGGAAATCGAAATATTAAAATAGAAAATTATAGAAAAAATAAATAAAAAAAACTAAAAAAATTAAAATTTATAAGGAGAAAATACTCTTTTAATTAATAAAATTGAATTTTTAGAAATTTAAAATCAAAAATTTAAAGAAGAAATACAAGAATAATAAAAAAAATTCGAAAATACACTAATTTAGATTTAAAAAATATAAAAAAATGAAAAAAATGAACTTTTAATCAAAAAGGAAGATGATTTATTATAATTAGAAAAAAAGATTTAACAAATTTCAGAAGATTTTTAAGAAAAAATAAATATAAAAAATTAAGAAATTTTGAATTTATAATTATAATACAAAAGTTATAGAGTTGTTATTGAAGAAAAAGAAATTTTATTAAATAATATAGAAAATTTATATAAGATAGTAAAAGATTTAGAAACAAAAGAAAAGCTTTTATTAGAAGAAATTGATATTTTATAAAAAGATAAAATTTAAATGGAAAATGAATATATAAAGAAGTATTAAAATGAAAAGGAAATATAAAAAAATAAAATGTAAATTTTAGAAGAAAAAGTATATATATATGTATATAATAAAAAATATAAAAAATAAATTATTATAAAATTTTATATTTAAATATACAATAAATATATAAATATTATTATATATTATATCATATATATTTATATAATAAAAGTTTTTATTTTATATATATTAATATAATTATATATTATATATTATATATTATATATTATATCATTTTTTTGTTTTATTTACATTTTTTCTTTTTTTTTAAAGTTAAAAGAATCAGAAAAAAATAAAATTAATTTAATTTTTGATTTTGAAAAACAAAATTCTAAATGGAATATTGAAAGAGATTTTTTAAAAAATTCTAAAATCTAAATAATTGATAACCTTAATAAAATAGAAAAACAAAATGAGAATTTATTAAAAGAAAACTAAAAATTAAAAAATACAATCAAAGAATCTCGAAGGTTATTTTCTTATTTATATTTAAAAAATAAATTATTTTAGATAATATTCTGTAAATTTAAATTAAAGAAAATTATTATCCACATTTAGTAAAAATTACGATATTTAATCATTATCAAAATCCAGTAGTCGTGTATTCTATAAAAATAATGATGATAGTTATTATGAAACTAATATAAGTAATAATATTTAAAACATATTAGATAATCTTGATAATACATAAATTAGCACTACTATAAATGAAAAAATATAATTAGTATAAAAAACATTCATATAAGTTACTTAAGATAAGACTAATAGATTCTTAAATATAAATAAATCTGAACAAGAAAATATATTAAAATGAATAATTTATTCATATTTAGCAATAATATAAATAATATAAATAATATTATAAATTTATATATATATAT